ACAGCCAACAATTTTCGTCGAAAATAAAATTCAAGTTCCTTTTGAAATTTTGTTTTATGATTTGTGATTTGAATTTGATTCTCTCGAATGAACATGGCAGGATGAAAGATGACAACATAAACCAGAAAGGTTATTAATCGAACACAAAAACTTAGTAGTTACTTGCAGTGTACCAGTACACCGTAGAAAATCAATGGTCCTTGATCCAAAGCTCGTGAGTAGCAACAGGACAGGAACTGAAATGTTCTTTTACAGAGTCTTCGACGAACTAACTAACTATTGGTTCTTCCAAGATAAAATCGAAAATATAGTCTGCAACAAAGTGAGTAGCAGCAGAAGAGAGGCAGCAATAATCGAAATTATTCCCCAAGGACTGTTGCAATAATTTCTCCTTAACTTAGCCCACCATCGGTTCATACGTCTGTCACAATGGATGTTCAATCTACTGAATATCTCAGCGTAATGGAAATTTCTACTTGGCCCAACTATGCAGACAATCATTTTGTTAAACATTTCAGAGATGACTTCACTCTCACCAACAAAGTTATCAATGATTCCATGGTGGGAGAGTTTTGTTACATCCTTTTCAGACTTGATGAGGCAACCCAAGAACGTCACATAGTCTGTCACAAGGTTGATTTGATCATCCCCACAATATTGCTCATAGGCAACCAGGTTGCGGAGGAAAGATTCTGTTCTCTCTTCGATGGCTAATGTGGGGATTCGCAGAGTTCCATTTTCAAATTCTATGTCAAATATGTCCTCTTGAGCAATTTTCTCTAACTTGATTCCAGCCTCTGCAAGTTCCATGGAACAGCGGATCAACGCCATATCTCCTGTGCCCCTTGTCATTTCTTTAACAGGCTTGAGTTTTGATGTAGACCAATTTCTGTGTATCAAGTCAAGCAAATGTTTGATGTTGTCCTGTGGATTTCCATTTTCGCGTGCTGTCCCGTGACCTGGTAAAAGATCACTAAAAAAGTTCAAGGCAAGATCGATCAATCCACTTTCTTGGTCTGGAAGCTCAATTGTTTCATACAATTTGCAAAGAATGAAGAAGGGAAGCTGATTCTCAAATAACATTAAATCGCGCTGTAAACTGTTCAGAATCCAGTCCAACCTGAAAGCAGGATCAGTTTTATCTATCAAATCCTTTTCCTTGAACTTAAGCAGCAATTGTATGATAAAGCAGCCATCTAACAGCATCATTTCTACAAACTCATCTGATGAAAGGGCTATAGGCTCTGCATAGCACTTTCGCGCTTTTTCTTCCAGTGGCTTCACTGCAGCAACACATGTTGCCACCTTCTCAATCTTTTGACCAAGCACTGATTTTAGATAAACCAACTTGTGCTCCTCCATACCTGAGAGATCAGGTTTTCCACGATGATATGGTCCAATTGCTATGATCTCAGGTTCATAAGCTTTCTCATTTACCTTCCGCAACTGGCTATGTATTCTAAAGATGTTGCATCCTAACTCTGAGGCAACGACACATTTCAGCTTTTCTTGAATGGTGATGGAGACATCTGCACTTCTACTGAGCTGCATGTTTACTTCAGAAAAAACGCTGCAGTCAGTGGAACCAACAAAAGATGCATGTTGTTGATAGACATTGATTCAATAGCTAGCAAACATCCAAAACGCGACAGTGAAGGCATGTGACAACAGGACGGAGCACTGGCTTAATAACTCTTGGATTTAAAGTACTGGTCAAAATTGCTTAGGCCATGACTAACTAAACTCAATAGTTAGTTCAAGGCAAAAGAGAAAGAAATATGAATGTATAGTATAACTGCATTGTACTTGTTGATCATGGTTCTTCTTTTAGCATGATAGAAGGATAAGAGTCTTCATATGCATTTTCATGATTAGCCTAGTATATATGTTGAAGACAAATTGAAGTTTGAGATACTTTACCATTCACTGATGGAATAGATTTGGAGCAGACTCGTGGTTGGAAAGGAATGTACCCAAAAAAAAAAAAATTCTGTGTTGGGAGAGTTCTTCTCTTTGCCGATGTCTAACTACAAAGAGGCAACAATTGCATTCTTAGTTTGATGGCAAAGTGCCCCCTAATTACATCTCCCCAACCGCACCGGTAGAACTAAGCTAAATTGCTTTTTGGGCTGTTAAAACGGACTAAATTATCTATTTCACTTTACCATATTGATTCACTATTCCTTTCTTTCCTAAGTTGCCAGAGGTTTCCTGTTTGGCAAATTTAGCTCTCAAACAATTTCATTGGTGCCCACTTTGCCCCAATTATACTTATAGCAGAAGATCCACTAGCAATCCACAAGTTATGCTAAAACAAGGAGATTACAGAATCAATAACACGCTTCACTTAATCAGTAACTGATTACAGATAGAGCTGAGCTGAATTAAGTCTAAGAGTCAAGTACTTCACTTTGGCTTTGATATATGGAGTTTGGAGCTCGATCAGGCTAATCAGAGTAACTAATCAAGTACTGCTTCGGCCTGTTAACTATTATTATCCTTGTATAAAATCATGAATCAAGCATTTTTATAAAGAAGCGATCATGCTTCAAATCAAAAGATCACCAATTCTTGAGATGGATAAGTTGACTAACTTATTTGGCTACTACTATGGTTAAACCGGAAGCGATTCCTAACTGATGAAACACTCGGGTTAAAAGACATTTAGCACATATACCAGGGTAAAAATACAGAAGAAGAGGCTAATTCAAGTGAAGATGTTGTTATAGCAAATGGTTGAAAAAATGCAGCAGAATTAGAGCAGAAACTGAGAAGACAAGGAATTTCACCTCAGGAAGAAGGAGACTAGAAAAGCGCCCGGGTCTGATGTTTGAAGTTGAAATCCAAGAATGTTAGTCGACCCCTCCTCTCCACTAATATCTGTCAGGGGATAAGAAACTTCACAGCACATAAAGACATTGGCTACAGTGTCTAATCAGAAAATGATGCGAGAAAAGAGGGACCGGAGCTAGCAGCAAGCACACTTGAAACTCCGACAGTTGCACGTGAGAGTTGAGACCTTTTCACCAGCTTGGCTCTTGACCAGGGATATTTTGGTCTCCTGACTAATGTCCTCACCAACTAAGTCGACTCGTGTGAAAGGTAGACAATTGTAATACAAGAGCAATTACTACGTAAATAACTTGCTTGTGCACTTTCTCGGAACCAGCAGTTTGAGTTTCTTGGAACCAGCAGTTTGGTGCAAAAATGCCCTAAATACTGTGCTTGGAGGTACATAGCACGCCACTTAAAAAAAGGGCAAATTTCATTTTACCCTCCCTCGTGATTTAGTGCTTTTATACATAATTCTCCTATAATTTTAAAAATTATACATAACTCCCTCATAATTTGAATTAAAGTATCAAAGTGACAGAATATTCATTCATAACGGAACTTTTAAAATATCGAAATTATCCTTATAAATATATAACACACTAGACCCGTATGATTTTTATATTTTACCATATAATTTTCTTATGATTTAATACTTTACCATATAACCACATTTTGATTTTCAAATTATACACATAACCCCCCCTTGGTTAATAAAAAATTTCAACTTTACATAAAAGTATTTTTGACATTTTAGTTGACTTCGTTACAAATAATCATTTCCGTCACTTTGACAATTTAATCTAAATCATGAGGGGGTTATGTATAGATTTTAAAACTATAGGAGAATTATGTAAAAAAATATTAAACCACAGGGGATAAAATGGAATTTGCCCTAAAAAATGCAAATATGCCGATGCTCTATGCTGAAAAAATTTATTTTTTGGCTCCTTAATTTCGATTCTCATCCTCACTAAAACCCAATTTGAATCCCCATTTCCTGTTGCCATTGTTTCAAATGGAGTGAAAATTTAAAAAAAAAAAAAAAGAAAGGAAGAAAGAGAAGTAATTATCACTATATTAGAGAGACTAAATAGCCCACATTGATTTACAGCAGTATATTTGTTGGGAAAAAAAAATTTACAGCAGCATAAAACATTTTTTAGCGTTTACTTAAAGGTAAGTTGAGTGAATGATTTGTTCTTTTTTTGTTTCATTGTGTGCACCTACCAATCCAAATTAGAGACACAAAAATAATAATAGTGTACCTATAAATTAAGGTTAGAAATGTATATTATTAACACAGGACAATGACTCTACTGTAAACAATATCAGGGGTTGGTTAAGAAGTGGAGAGACAGATTCCAATTTGCAAGAAAATTTTGGCCTTGTCCAAGTTCATAGTGGCTGAGAATAAGGATGGCAATGGGGGAGAGTGCCTGCTATTGGGGCGAGGGCGGGGGGAATTTCCCCCGGTTTAGAAACGGGGCGAGGGTTTCATCCTACCCCTCGCCCCACCACCCGTTGAAAAAAAAAGATATATATATATATATATATATATATATATGTGTACATAATTATATATATAATATTTAATTTAATCAGTTATAAATTTATAATAATGATATTATTAGTTATATGTATCATTTAATGTATATTAGTATATGTAATATAATTGATATTATCAATTATACTACTAATTATACATGTCTATTAATAAAATTATTAATTATTTATACTAAATTTATTGAAACACTTATATTAAATTCCTAACTACACTTAATACAATAACACTTTTTTTTAAAAAAAATACAATAATAATTTAGTGATTGTATTTGTATCAAAAGTAAAAACTTGATTGTTTTAGTTATATTTATTTTATCATATTAAATTTTATTCAAATAACTTTTGTTTAATTATTTTTATGAGTTTCAATTTTGAAGTTACAATGAATAATAATTTGATGATGTGTTGATATTTTAGTACTTAATTAGTTACTAAAATTTAATTATAATGAAATTATATAACAAATTTTTTTAATTCCACGAGTGCCCACGGGAAAGCCAAGAGCGGAGGACGGAGCGCGGGGAATTAATAGGCAACGGGGCAGGGGTGGGGAGGGTCCCCCGCCCCATTGCCATCCCTGGCTGAGAATTGTCCTGGTCTTCTTCTCCTCGTCAACGCAGACAAATTAAAGAAGGCGGTGGACTGCAATAATTAGGAGGTACCTTCTCCTCACCACATTGAATTGAAAAGCAAGAAGGGTTGAGGGTTGAAGGAGCACTAGACTCCAGAGTGCAAGTAAAAATATCAGCAAAATCAGAACTTTCAAGTTCTTAGTTTATCATGTATCAAACAACAAACCAGCAAAAATCAACCGATGAAAAAACACCCCTGGAGGTTGACCATGAAGAACAGCAGGATAAAGGTCTGCAAACTATGAACTGAAGTCTTTGTTTGTCAATAACTTTCAAGTTTGTTTCATGATTTTGGTTCAGCAGCTCGTTATTTTTTTTTCAACTAATTATGCCTTTGCTTTTGCCTCGTCTAGTACAAGAAACTACGTGTCAGCACGCATTTTTGAGGCTCCCTCCTGGAAGACGTTCTATATTGTTTCGGAGAAATCCCAGTGGAACAACACATCAGGTTCAAGAACTTGTACATTTTGCTCGATTTGATGATGCCTTCGATAGTTGATCAAGAAACATATGTAACAGACATGCTTTTAGCTTTTAAGAACTGGATGCAAAGTACTATTGTAGTTTTATATCTTCTCCGTTTTCACAGACGTACGCTTAGAAATGACTTCTGTAATTTTTTTCCAGGTTCCTAACCCTGAAGATGGATCAGCTCCAAGAGTTTTGCCGGCGAATAATACATCTTCCACTGCTGAAACCAGAATTTCGGCCGTAAGTTGATCCTTTATGTGTGTTCATTGTTACAAAGAATATGTCATATATACTGATTAAACTTCTGGGATTTATGGTGTTATGATTGTGTGGTTCTTTTTTCTTGTTTTCATTTTTTTCTCCCACTTCGTGGATATCATGTGTTTCTGTCGGCTTTTCTGGAACTATTATTGTACTTAGCAGTTTTAAATCATTACGTTGTATTAGATAAAATTGTTGTATTCTGAATTTCCTTGAGGCTTGTTTTATGTTTGTCAGAAAGTAGTGTATTCTATTAAACAAAAAAATTATTGAAAATCCAACGAAAAATCAATTTTCGACTCCTGTAGCTTAAGTTTCATTCACTGTTAATGCATTTAGAGCAATACTATTTATTTTATTTATTTTTTTATAGATTAATCTTTCTTACACTATATACACTGTCAGCATTGAATGAATGACAACTATGCAAAATTTAAATTTAAAATTTAATTTTTGCATACACGTCATGGATCCAACGATGATAGTGTATACATTGTCAGTGTATACAAAATTTACTCTTTTTTTTTTATTGTCGTTGCTATTTTTCTAATTATCTGATTGTTCTGTTTCTTATATATATATATATAGACACACATACACACACATTAGGATCCAATTTTTAAATCTAATACTACTTTGTATCTATATTAGGCTGGCAATTGAATAACAATGGCAGTAATTTTGGCAGGTGCTCAACAGTGAAGGTGGATCTCGAAGTGTTCTGGCCCCAAATAGGTGTACTTCTTCTACCACCTCCACGCAGAGCCGGTTGAAAATTCAAACTAACATTGTGGCTGTAAGCGAATCCATTATTTGCATCAACTTTAGAATTCAATAACGTGATCTTGATTTAACTTCATAAATTGTCGGTGCCATTTTACTATTCTTACACATGATAATACCTTCAGTAATTTTCATCGATAACATGGGTAGTATTCCCTCAGTGCCAAAATTTTGGTCACATTTTGGAAATTCGGCCTTTTATCAATAGTGTTTTAATTGTGATGTCTGGATATATATATATTTTTTTTTCAATTTTACTCCTTGAAATTCAAATTTTAAATTTAAATGTAACGTGCATTTGATCAAGAGCAAGGACGATATTGGGAAAAAAAAAAGATCAAAAAGAGTTCTGACTTTCTAATCAAGACAAATATTTTAGCACATTCCAAAATAAAAAGTATGACAAAAATTTCGGAAACGGAGGAAGTATTTTAGTGTTCTTTTAAGCGCATAGTAGTATTTTGTATAGTATATCATCATTCGTGTCATCGTAATTGTAGCATACATTCATGCCCGTAAACAACTTCATGCGTCTTTTCTTTGAGTTGTTGTCAATTGTCCTCTACCTTTTGTTTTTGACCAAAAAAAAAAAAAAAAAAAATTTGTCCTTATCCATTTGGATTGTATCAAGATGCCTTTATTATTGTGTGGTGCTTGCCTGCCTGCCAAAAAAAATGAAAAATCTATCAGTCAAACAGCTTTATAGAAAACGATATATGTTTGAATTGGCCCACCCAGGCTGTATTAATTAACATCAAATACAAATGATTTATGAAACCCATCTTTTCTCTCTGCAGACTGGGGATCTCTTAATCTCTACTTTCGAAATAGAAAGTGCAGAAAAATTGAATTCGAATATCAACCTGTGTTCATTTGATACTTAAACAAATTAATTTGAGTTTGAGTTTAAAGAATATATCAGTAATTTTGAGCATTGATTCAATTTGTTAAGTGCTCTACCTTATTAAGCAGTAGATCAATTAATTAATAGTTTTCTAGTAATACCCTCTTGTTATATTCTAAAGGTCAATCTAATTTTAGAAGAGCCAAATGTTACAATGGCAATATTTTAGTGGCCTTCTGCATAATTGACCTTAAAATAAGAAGAGATTCTATAGTCTTTTTTGGATATTATATCCACAAAGTGAAATCTATTAGTAAATGATCGATGAAATAACTATTGTTGACCTTCCTGAGAAAGCTTTGGTCTAGTGACTAAAATTGAAACTCTAGATCTTAGAGATTTTATATTCGAATTCCCCATTTTTCATCTTCAAGAACGTGAAGCTCCAAGAACTGTTTTTAATCAGTCTTCGACATCTTCAACACCTGATATCGGAACTCTGCCCGTAAGTGGAGTGATTGTTAAGTTAAGAAACGTGCTGCTGGTTTAAGTAAACTTGTTGAAATTATGGCGCCATGTTTGTGAACAAGCATGCAATACCGTATGGCCGTAAGGATTAACGGTAGTCCTAGCGGCACAAAAACCCTAGATAATGATATTACTATAATAGCAATAGTTTGACTAACAGATATATCTGTATTTTGTGGAACTGTGTGTGGTAGGTATCATCATGTTAAGTAGAAATGAAACCATTATGTTACCTTTCTTGGTGACAAACAGGCGTGTGTTTAAATTGGCTCAAGATCCCTTTCGGAATGTATCAAAATGTCGTTATTATCATTGCAGGACGCATGCAAAAATGTCATTTTTCTTTCATCATTTGCTGGAAAACAACGTTTGATAGATAATCTATAGTCTATGTCAAGAGTTGTGGTGGAGACTTGATTTCTGCTTTCTAGTCTTTTCCTTTTCTTTTTGGTATGGCCCACTAATGAATACCAACAAGCCTGATTACTGAGTTTGTCTAAATTCCTTGTCAAATGTATCGAGAAGAAGTCGTTACTGTCGTTGGACCCAAAAACACATGCATGGAAAGTTCCTGGAAGCAACTTTTAAGACATTATTTTCTTTCCCTTGGTAGATCCTTTCTTTCCCACCTTTTTTCACCCTCCTTTTGTGCTTTTAGCTTTTTCGTGATTTAAATAACCCAATTCAGCACTTAAATTTAATGAATTTAAATTTTAACATATTTAGACCGTTTAATATATAACTACAAATTGAACATCTGAATTAATTACATGGTATTAAATTTTCTAGACAAAATTTGATTCCAAAATTAAGTGATAATAAGTTATTCACTTATCATTGAATGTGATATGCACTCAAACGCATTAAATTTAATATTTAACAATTCAATAATTTAATAATTTCAGATTTCAGATTTCAAACTTCAGTTTTATCAAACTCACCCTTAGATAATTAACACTATAAAATGGGATAATTTCAAAATCCTCCCCTGAAGTTTATAACAAACATCATTTGGTTACCTTGAATCTTGAGAAATCTCATATACCTCCCTTATTTTCAACTTTTTGTAACATTATCAATCCATTTCAAAAGATATGGCTTAAAAACTCATTTTGGGAGTAAAAAATCATTTCTATTCCAAAATTACCCTTTTCTTGTGGACTTTTAGTTTTCATAACACATTAGGTTAAGTCCTTAAGATCGGGTTACAACATGTTAATGAGGTTGAATGACCTTTTGAAATTTTTGAAGTCATTAGTCCGGACAAGAAATGCAAAATAAAATTTGTTATAATTAGAAAAAAAAATTTGCACCTTGAAAATGCCTCAAATAATTTTTTTAAATAATTAGGAAATTGTTAGGAAGGCCGGATTCTTTCTCTCTCTTTTTCGATTTTTCCCTCTCTATTTGTGCTTTTAGCCTTTCGGTGACATAGATAATTAACATTATAAAATTACTAGATGGAATTTGAGGAATAGTAAGGGGTAGAAACGACACACCTGTAGATGAGGGGCCTCTACAATTACTAGTCAATTGTAGTGTGTACCTCGTGATGTGAGATTATATGTTTCTGAATAGAGTTAGAATTTTGTTTTATGCACAAGTTTTTAAAAATTATGCAAAAGAAAAAAATTATCACAATTTTATATTTACTACTAAAGTATGTCCATTCATTGTGTTCATGTGTGCTTTTGTTGTTTGACATATATCATTGGCAATGTTAGATTAGATTATTGTGTTCACCTTCCTCCTCTCCCTGGCTCGTACCACGATTACTAATCTTTTATTTTGCGTCTTGCGTTACAATTTTCAAAAAAAAAAAATCGGAAATAAAAAGAAAAGCTTTTGAATTGCCCTACACACGGTTGCAATTGGCTTTGATCAATTCCATAATACTACTACTCATTACTCTGCCTTGATTTTCTCCCAAGAAGATGCCCGTCGACGACACTTTACCTCCTATAGCCGTCGGGGTGCAGACCCCGCATGCTGCAGGTATATCATATAATCTCACAGCTACAGGATGGATAAAATACGTATATACTTAATTAGGTTTTGAAATTCAATGACTAATTTGTTCATTAAACTAGTTGCGGCTTTAGTAATGGACTTGTTATTCTGGAGAAGCATGTATCTAAGCATCCTTGTTCTTTTGGTGGCCACGGCAACTTGGGTAACACTCCAACTCTATCACTATTACATGGTAGATGTTGTCTCGCGGATGGCCATGCTCCTTGTTACACTTATCTTTGTTTGGGGCAATATTCATAGACTCCTCAAAAAGTAAGAATTCATCAGCTAGTATGTTTTTTTGTAATTAATTATCCATCAGCAGTTAGTATTTTTTTTTTTTTTAAAGTGCTTGATTAATTACTTGTGTTTTATCAGTGAGGCTCCGGACTTTTCAGGGATGGAGATAAGCGAGGCGCGGGCTGAAGGAATGGCGCGTGGGATTCAGGAATGTATTGACGAAGGCATTCGATGGCTGTTTCGGGTGGGTGTGGAAAGGGAATGGTCTGTGTTTGGGGCAACTGTATTTGCTCTGGGGTTACTTTCGTGGATCGCTACCCATTTCGATTTGCTTACTATTGTTTACATGGGTGAGTCTTGTCAGATTAATTATTGTTGTTTTATTGATTTTAAGAAGAAGATATTTGTGTTCGTGATGGGATTATGCATGGCTGCATGCAGGGGTTGTGTTGGGTATGACTGTACCAGCAATTTACGTTAAGCATGAGGAGAAGATCATAGAGTTATGGAAGGCAATTTACCTGCAGGGGTTGTCAGCCTGCCCTTGTATTTGAGTCTCAAAAGCATTAAGACTTGAGTAAAGACAAGCTGGGGAGGATAAGAAACAAAGTGGCTGCAGGAAAGAAACTATTTCTTTGGTTGTTCCGTCAATTTGCTGTGTGGGACTCCTGTCCCAATTCTCAACAACCTTCTTGTTAGTTTCAATTGGCATTTGGTACCAGATCCATTGCTCAACAGATTGAGATTGAATCATGTAGGATTATTAAACCAAGTCTGTCTAGGATTTAGTTTATTGTTTAGTTGTGATTTTCTATTCTTAGTATGATTTGGTAATTTAAATCTCAATTGGATTTTGGTATTTGGTAGTTTATATAAAGACCATAGGTTTTGGTCCATCAGTGTAAGAAAGAAAGAAAAGATTCAAGCTTCGGGATTTATTTTGTCTTCTTGTGGTTTCATTCAATCGTGAAAGTTGTGTGACTTATATTGATTGTTTTTGTAAGCCTTCATAGTGGTATTAGATCCACTTTTATTGTAAGACATGTTTGCATCAACTGTGTCAAGTAATATTATCTGTGCAGTACCAAAACTCACCGGAAAAAAAGATTACTGTTTTTGGAGAATGCAGATGGAAACTCATCTTGACGCATATAATTTGTTTTGATTTGTTCAGTAAGAAATTACTGTAGATGAAGAAGAAAATGTCAAGAGAAAAGGAAGTATGGCGTTGTCTCAAATCCATCAGGCAATTGATGTTTGATTTTTGAAAAAATTGCGAATGCCAAAACTGTAAAACAAGCATGGGATATTTTGGCGAAAATATACAAGGAGTTGACAGAGTTCAGAAAAATAATCTACTGATGTTGAAAAGAAAATTTGAGTTGATCACCACGAAAAAATCAGAGACCGTTGAATTATATTTTTTCAGACTGATTGACATAAAAAATGAGATCAAACACAATGGTTATGATCTCAATGATGAGGTGCTAGTAGAAAAAACCCTCAATACTTTACCCATGAAATTTGATCATGTGGTTGCTGTGATTCAAAAGACAAAAGATCTCTCAACTATGACCATTGAAGAATTGCAGGATTCGTTAACTCTTCATGAATAGAGAATTAATGAAAAATTGGAAGATGGTATAGAAAAAGAAATGGTGGAGAAAGTATTGCAGGTGCAGATAGATAAACCCAAGGAGAAGGGTGATGGCTCCGGTTAGAAAAATCAAAATTTCAGAGGAAGAGAACAAGTCCGTGGTAGAGGCAGTTTTAGAAGTTGTGGTAGAGGTAATTTTTACCAACAGAAAGGTAACAATAATTATCCCAATATTGAGTTAGAAAATAATAATTCTCGCAGACATAATATTCAGTGCCATAATTGTAAAAAAATGGTTCATTATAAAAGTGAGTGCTGGTATGATTCTGATAATAAAGGTGAGCATACTAATATGGTAGAGAATAATGGTGCAAAGGTTGAAACTATTTTATTCTCTAACTTAAGGGTGGAAGAAAATAAAAAGAAAAATTGGTTTTGGATTCTGGTTGCAGGAATCATATGTGTGATGCCAAAAATATGTTTGCTAATTTGGATGAATTTTTTATATCTTTTGTTAAGTTTGACAAAAATGAAAGAGTGATTGTGCTTGGAAAAGGAAAAATCAGAATTATTTTGAAGAATGAAAAATCTGATTTTATCTCTGATGTCTTCTATGTGCCAAGCCTTTATCATAACTGAGTCTTGGGCAACTTATTGAGAAAGGATATGCTTTGCGATTCAAATACGGCATTGGTACTATTAGTGATGATCGTTTGGGACTAATAGCAAAGGTATACATGAACTCTAGCTGCTTATGGCCTATCACTCTTAATTGTCATGATTTACCTTGATTTAGTTCTATTGTTTTTTATGATATTTGGCTGTGGCATATACGTTTTGGTCACAAGAATTTTGGGAGTTTGAATTTTCTTGCCAAAAAAAAAATGGTGTATGGACTGTCTGCTATTTGATTTTTCTACACAGTACTGTGAGTCTTATATTTTGGGAAAGAAACACAAAGATCTATTCTAAAGGCAAGGTTTGAAAGGCTAGTCATCTGTTGGAATTGATACATTCAGACCTGTGCTTAGTTGAGGTATCTTCCAATGGAGGTAGTAACTATTTTATTACCTTCACTGATGATTTTAGCAGTAAAATTTGGGTATATTTTTTGAAGAATACATCTAAAACTTGTGATATTTTTAAGAGTTTTAAAGTATATGTTGAGAAGTAAAATGACCAATTTATTAAATTTTTGAGAACTGACAGAGGCACTGAGTTTACTGTCTGTGTTGATTTTCTGAAGAAACATAGAATTAAACATCAGTTGACAATCAGATACACTCCTCAACATAATGGAATAGCAGAGAGGAAACATTGAACTATAATGGATATGGTGAGATCAACGATACATGCCAAGAACATGCCTAAAGGTTTTTGGACAGAAGCAGTTGCTTGTGTTGTATATATTTCTAACATGTCTCATACGTGATGCAATTTTAGGAAGACACCACAGGAGTTATGGACTTGTAAGAAACAAAATATTTCTCATTTAAAATTATTTGATTGTCTTGCCTATTCCCATGTTCCAGATGTTATTAGAAAAAAATAGATGAGAAAGCAAAAAAATGCATTTTTCTTGATTATAGTCATGAAACCAAAGATTACAAACTGTTCAACCCAAATACAGGAAGGATGATTATTAGTAGATATGTCACATTTGATGAGCAAGACGTTTTGGATTGATCTAAGAAAGTTATAGATTCTGCACCAAAGAATCCACCAATGCCGTTTTACTTGGATGGAGGGAATTCTTCTAATCAGCCAGTAGACCAGTCCAGACAACATACTAGTGATTCTTCATCTTCCAGGATGCAATCAAATCCTATGCAGTCATCCAGTTGTCCGTAACAAGAACGCCGCATGCTAGCTTGCTTGGAGGATTATGTTGTTGGTAACGATAATGAATTGTCTGATAAAAATATTGTAAACTTTGTTTTATTTGCAGATTGTGATTCAGTTACCTTTGAGGAGGCCGTCAAAGATGATCACTGGAATCAAGCAATGGACGAGAAAATACATCAATTGAGAACAATAAGACATGAGAGCTGACTACACTTCTATATGGGAAGAAGTCAATTGGTATCAAGTGGGTCTACAAGACCAAGTACAAGTCAACTGGAGAAGTAGATCGTTGCAAAGCAAGATTGGTGGTTAAAACATATAAGCAAAAGGCAATGTTTTTAAACTCGGACCAGCCAGCGAACCGGAGAGGGGGTTGGTTGGCGGTACGATCGGTCCAACCGGTCCGACCAGCCGGTTTACTGGTTTTTTTTTTCAACTTTAGTGCTAAGTACTTCATAGGCCTTCACTCTATACTTGAACTTGATGGCTAATGACGATCTAACATGGTTATTGACAAATTAAGTCCCTAAAATGAATTCACCAACATAACTAAATTTAAGTTGGGATAATAATAAATTTCCTAAAAGTTATACATAAAACCTGGAATGATAAAAACAACTAAAATATCATAATTCACCACAAGTTTTTATATATTCATTACAAACATAAATAGATATAATCCAAATGCTCACCAATTATCACAAATAAAAATACAAAAATAAATAAAATAAATGTTGACATTCTTTTGCAATCCTAAAAAAGTCAATAAAAGAGTCCAACTCATATTTAAAACAAACAATTTCAATAACAAACTTCCATCGGTGGCATGATAGACAACAACACCATCTTCACAATTTCATCAACTTAACCTGAAAAAGTTAAAAGTTTATTACAAAAATATAAATCTAATTGCTCTAACTCAAAAAAAAGCCAAAAAATTTTGAAAAACAAAGATACAACTAAACACATAAAAAATTAATTACTACTAAACATCACTAATTGACATGTTATATTACCAATCATTATGCAAAGCTGTATTTTTTCAACCAATGTATGTGAGTCTAAATTTGCTCAAAGCAATGCCAATATAGTCGTCAATCAAAACATTTGTTTATGTGAAGCTAAAAAGAATATACATTATTAGCACTAGCACAAAAGGATCGTTGTCCCTTTACTAGACTAATAGACAAGTATTTGTATCCATGTGCTCAAACTAAAAATGCAGCTCGTTAGATGGCCAAGCATGTACACCAACAAACCAAAAGTAAAGAGTTTTTACTATTAAAACTACATCCTTAAAGAAGAAGTAGACTTTAATTACTAGCTGCAAAAGATAATGAACAAGCAAAAACATGTCCTTATTTTTGTTGCTTCAGTGAAACCTATAAAATTCAAGATGAATGAGCACTCGGTAGATTAATTACTTCAGTGACATAGAAAACACAGAAGATGGAGTTCATAGCATACAAATGATACATGCAAACAAACAACATCAAAGGAACAAAAAATAGACATCCGGGCTTCGCTAATTCTGAAAAATACAAAATTTAAAACAAAATTTTTATTAATTCCCAACATTTCTAATTTTATTAATTTTATCAAAGGAACCAAAGATTAATTCCAAAAAATACAAAAGTTAGAAACCAAACATGTCTAATTTTATTAATTTGATACTTTATCCAAAAAATAGCTTCTCCAAACATGACTACAAAATAATTCATGATTCATAGTTTCATTCTTAACTAATAAAACAAAAATAAAACTTCAATTAGGGATAAGGAAACAGATGAAAATTGGGGGGAAAAAGAAGAAAATATGAAAAAATCCACTAAAGATAATATAGAAAACAAAAATTTTCAAAAGGGAAAAGTTAAACTAACCAAGATGGAAAAGCTCTGGAGTTTCGGATATCTTGTGAAAGTTGAAGTTTCCAAATTCCAACTTGCCTATAGATCGTCTAAAGATAATAGCATGATGATCTTGTCATGGATATTTGGATGTGGAAGGGTTACGAAGGAAAAATAAAAAAAAATCAAGAAGAGAACTAGAGAAGCCGAGGAAGTCTAAAGTGAAGTCGAGGAAGTGAAATGTGCCGTTTGCACTCTGCTGTGTCTTTTCTTAATGCTAGGGTTTCTTTTATTTAATCTAATTTTAGTTTTTTATTTAAGTTAAGTAAAATTCTTCACAACAAGAGTTTGTCCTCTGGCTGTGGTTTAGTGGTAAGAATACTTTTTTATGGCCACGGAGACCCGAGTTCGAATCCTAGTAGCCTTCATTCTTGCTATTGTTTTGAATTTGAGGTAATGAACTTGAAAATTTAAGAGCCGCTGGTTACAGTTTATACGGGTTTTAATGGTTCGTCCTGCTTCTAGCGGTTTTTCATTAACTTCCGGGTTTGATACTGGACCGGACTGGTGACATGTCCGATTCACGGTCGAACCGGCCAGTTTGGTCCGGTTCTGAAAACATTGGCAAAAGACAAGTATTAATTATTTTGAAGTTTTTGTTCTAGTTGCCAGACTTGATATTGTTCACATGATTATATCTATTGCTGTAAATAATTCTTGAAAGATTTATCAAATGAATGTGAAATTTGTTTTCTTGAATGAAATTCTTGAAGAGGAAGTATTTGTTGAGCAACCTGCAAGTTACATAAAGAAAGGCCAAGAAAATAAAGTCTACATGTTAAAGAAGACTTTATATGGTTTGATACAAGTTCCTCGAGTTTGGTATACTCGTATAGACTCTTACTTTATTGGGAATGGTTTCCATAGATGTCCATATAAGCATACTTTGTATATCAAATCTAATTCTGGTGGTGATATTCTTATTGTATGCTTATAGATGGTTGATCTAATTTTTATTGACAATAATCCCTGAGTAATTTCTGAATTCAGGAAGGCTATGATTAGTTATTTTGAGATGACTGACCCTGGATAAATGTCATATTTTCTTGGCATTGAGGTTCTTAAACAGATCATGGCATATTTATTACACAGCAGAAATATGTATATGACATATTGAAAAGGTTTAAGATGGATATTGCCAAACCTATGTTGACAGAAGTTGAAATTGAAGAAAGATGGCGGTGGTGAATTTGTTGATGCCACTAATTTTAGCAGAGGCTATGATTCATCATTTTGAGATGATTGACCTGGGATTAATGTCATATTTTCTTGGAATTGAGATTTCTCAAATAGATCATGGCATATTTATTACACAAAAGAAATATGCATAGACATATTGAAAAAGTTTAAGATGGATACTGCCAAACCTATGTTGACTCCAGTTGAAGAGAAGTTGAATTGAAGAAAGATAACAGTGGTGAATTTGTTGATGCCACTAATTTTAGCAGATTGGTTAGAAGTCTAACATACTTGACGTCTACAAGGTCTAACATTACTTTTGGTATTGGGTTAATTAGCAGGTTTATGGAGTCTCCATGCCAATCACATTAGCAGGCAGCCAAAAGGATTTTAAGATACATTAGAGCTACACAATCTAATAGTATCTTTTATCTATATACTAACAATTCTAATCTTATAGGCTTTACAGACCGTGATTGGGCTGCTGACATGATTCAAAGGAGAAGTACATCAAACTATAACTTTTATTTAGGCAGTGTTGTATTTTCATGGTTTTCTAAAAAACAAGAAGTGGTGGCATTATCTACAGCAGAAGCAGAGTATATGGCAGCTACACATAGTATTTCTCAAGCATTATGGTTGAAAAGAATACTTGATTTTCTACGGCATGTACAAGTTGATCCTACCAAAATCTTGTGATAGCAAATCTGATATTGAGCTGTCAAAGAATCCATCATTTCACGGAAGAAGCAAGCATATTGATATAAAGTTTCGCTTCATTTGTGAACTAGTTCAAAATCAGGAAATTGCCACTGACTAATGTAAGAATCAAGATCAAGTGGCGGATATTTTCATAAAACCATTGAAGGAGGAGCTATTTCTCAAGTTGAAAAAAATGCTTGGTATGATGCGATTTAAAGACATTGGTTTAAGAGAGACAATATAGGATTATTAAACCAAGTCTGTTTAAGATTTAGTTTATTATTTAGTTGTGATTTTCTATTCTTAGTATGACTTGATAGTTTAAATCCCAATTAAATTTTGGTATTTGGTAGGCTATATAAAGACCATAGGTCTTGGTCTATCGGTATAAGAAAGAAAGAAAAGAGATAATAAAAATCCTCTAGTTCTCTTTGCTCTATTTCGTCTTCTGATCTCGGGATTTATTTTGTCTTCTTGTGGTTTCATTCAATCTCGAAAGTCTTGTTGCTTATATTGATTTTTTTTTTTTTTTGTAGGCCTTCAAATCACGATCAAAATCAAGCATATGTAAAAATGTTAACTTCATTTCTAAGTTGAGTTTGCCAAAATCTTAACTTCATTATCAAAATTAAAAAAAAAAATTATTAAGATGAATTATGACAAGAGTCCTTTAACTTTTACACAAATTTCTTTTTCAGTCATTTTAAAATTTTTTTTCAATCTTTTATCGTTTAAATTTTGAGTCAGTTGGAGGAAGGTTGGATTGGATGATAAAATAGGAGAGATTGTATATAGAAAATCTTGAGTTCAAAATCTCCCACTTACCCTAAAAAAAAATGTTGAGTCAATTCAGTCCTTAGAAGTTCCATTAGAAATCAATGGGTCCTTATAACCAAATAGTGGTGCTAATTTGACACAAAACATTAATTAGATAGATATATGACTTTGAACTCTCAGTTTTAAGAAAGCATTAGTACAAAATATACTTGGGTTCTGATAGAGGAGATATAGACTGCATTTACCTTTTTAATTTGCAGTTACTTCTGCCTTGTCCATGTGGATAAAAGAGAAAAGCAATAGCATTTCCCGTTGTGATAGAAAGAAATAACCACAAGGTTCAAAAGGATTTTATATGAAATACATAAGAAAAATTTCTAGTTTCTCGTTGTTGATGAGTACTTTAATATTATGCAATCATTTACCAACGTAGTTATTTCTTTTTTCTTTTTTTTTTTTACCTGCAAAAACTCATTTCCTCTTGAGCCATGGATAGAGGATTATTTGTCAAAATTTATTTGCTTACATCATCATTACAATTTTCAACACACCTTTTTATCTTCTCAATTACCTTTTTATCTCACATACATCACATCATAAAAAATGTTACAGTAAAAAGATCTCAAATAATTTACAATCCAAACAGAGCAATTGTATTTTTGCTTGTAAACTAATGGCTCTTGCAAGGAAAAATATGAAATAGTACAAGTTTGTAAGAAAGTAAGCAGTATCCATCCATCAATTTATAAGACTATGAAGTTTCTACTTTGTTTATTTTGTCAAATGTTGGAGGGATGAGAGGTACGTGTGGTTGGCTGATTGGACTCATAATACCCTTAATAGCTTAGATGGAGTTATATTAACTATTTTCGTTTTGGACTATTTATTCCAAAATAAAAAAGAAATTAAAATAAATCGTTCAGATCGGACTAACTTGATGTGATTCGATCTGAACCATCAACGGTACTCTACGATTGCATTAGCAATAGTACAAGTCTCTTGAATTCGCATTGGAGATAACTTTTTTGGCACTTAAAAAATCTAAAAGACTCGTAAATAATCTTTTACAAAACAAAAAATCAGTCAAAACCGTGAATTGATCAGCCCCATGCTACTGCCATTGGGCCTTTGGCTCGGTGGTCACCACCAAGACTTTTAAGCCTTTGGTGATATGGGAGGTCAAGAGTTTGACTATTGCCTTCTACCAAAAAAAATTGCCACAATATATGCGGGTCTTAATTGGCTATTTTCGATAGAGCCTCTACTCACATCCAGTCCCTCTCGCCCTCTCCCTTAGATTAGGCTAGATTAGATTATAAAAATTCTAGTGTTACGAAAAAAAAAAAAAAAAATCAGCCCCATGCTACTGCTCATAGGCAATGATGTTCCTCAGGAAATACTCTGTTCTCTCTTCAACGGTCAAAGTAGGGATTTTGCAATTCCATGTCAAACATGACGTATCCAAACTGTTACCTAATCTTTTCTGTACCATGTTTGGTCACCAGTACAAGTTGTACCATGACGTACAACTTGTAGCAACATTTTTTTCAACTTTGCTATATTGATGGGAATCAAGGTTTAAAGAACCTTTTGTCTACCCATCGGCAAGCAACATTTTCCCACAAATGAAGGAGAAATTAGTCATAGACTGACAGCAAAGATGCACGGACAGAGGAATCTATGCTATGAAAGGGTGCAAGTCCATGCAATCAGGAGGAAATTGCAAACACAAAGAAGATACATCATGCTTCAATTATATTTTCTTCTCATTTTTGAGGAAAAAGGGAATTGGTACATACTGGTAATATTGCACTGTGGCAGTCATTCTCAGTTTTACGGTCATTCACAATGAGGAAAGTCAGTATAACGAGGTATGTTACAGTGCTGTTAAATTACAAGGCGAAAAGAGGTATCAACACTTTAACAGCACTGTAACATAAGAAGCTGAAGCAGTTTGTCTATTTTCAAGCTACTCAAATCATAAAAGCACAGCTAAAATGCGGTTTATGATTTGAGTAGCTTGAAAATAGACAAACTGCTTCAGCTCCTTATGTTACATGTAGGGCACCAGATCAAGTAAAGCACAGTGCCGATAAAGCATGATCCACGTCCTATTGTGGAGGTCTCTCCAAAGCTATCCAGCCAAACTTTCCCTTTCGAAAATCTGACAGAATACGAAATGCAGCATGATGCGTGTCACCGTTGAATAAATGATTCGCAAGCTTCTGAACAAAGCTGCATTATGGAAAAGAAAATCAGAAGTTAGAAATCAAGTAAGGACAAAGCAGGATTAAGGTGTCAAATCCAGCTCTAAAAGGCCTAACAAGTGTAAATAATTTGATTTGGGCATCCTGCCTCAGCTATGAATCTGTCAAAGTGTAACATGATAGGCATTTAGCTACGCAGGCCATAAACTTACCCTCTACCACAGCTACCATCTGCCTCAATCTTGTAGCGGCCATGCAGAGCTGTCATACCTAGCAAAAACAAGGTAAGGCAATGCCTAACATCAGGAATGATGCTAATATCTATGAGGAGATTTGTTTATGCAAGCATAAATCCAAACATAGCCAGAAGCAAACTAAATTTCGGTATGGGGGGCAAACAACATCATAATTAGGGATCAGTTGATGCAAGAAGTGCACAGACCTACAGTTGGTAGCCTTGAAAGCATCTGCACAAGAATGGCTGCAACATCAGCAGCATCGTAAGATCTCTCTCCAATGTCATCACATATGGCGAGTTTTATTGCTGCAGACTGATCACTGATCCTCATTGGAATTATACCAGGTGAATCAAGCATTTCTAAGTCTTTTCCGAACCGGACCCATCTTTGGCAGGGATAATAAGATAGGAAAAAACAGTTCAAAAGGAAAAAAATGCGTCAGCCCTGTTCTCCAGAAAATCTGGCATAAAACACTATAAAGCTATATTGATGTATTAGAACTGACTTGTACCTTTCCATGGACAAAAAGCCACTCAGCTTTATTATAAATCTGATACTTGGAATTTGCAACGCATGCATAAATTTCTTACAGTCCTACTTAGATGTATGTCTACATCATATGATACCTACATGTTTTTAGCGAGACTAGGGATATTGTTTTCATTCTACATATGAGGTAGATATCAGAAAACAAGAGATAGGCATACTTCAGTTCTCTAGTAACACCAGGTCTTGGAGCAGCTGGGCACATTCGACGCTTTAGCAAGCGATTTATTAAGGATGATTTACCAACATTAGGGTATCCAACTACTCCAGCTCGAACCTGTATAAGGAATTATGAATTTCTCTCATAGGAAGATCTAACCGTAAGCAAATGACAGAATAAGATTTATATTAATCATAAAACGTTGAAAATTAGCGCTACGATCTCCTAAAACTGCAGAATTTGATAATTAAGATACCTAGTCATTACACATTTACATGAACTGCCTCAGTATACAAGAACAGGAGGAGGAACAATCTGCCTGATTTCCCTAATTTAATAAAGTTTTAAAAGTATTTGCTGTCTACAGAGAATACTACAGGTTGAAATATCTTTTCGTTGTCAGTTGCTTTTTATCATAATGGAAGAACTGAAGGATGTTGTATATTATAGTAGACTTGGAAAAGTAAAAAAGCTGACAAGAAGACATTTAAAAACAGCCATTTTTGTTGGAGTCTGTCAAGACAGAAACAAAGTCTATCAGAATGAGTTCAAAGGATAACTTGAAGATGACTTGTTCCATGTTGACCATTCATTTACAGCATCTAACAAGAGGACATGGATAAATCCACCAAAACTTTACCAACAAAAGTAAGTAGTATCATACTATCATATGCAGTCTCAAGAACTCACTGGACGAGGGAGCAGTCCTTTTGCTCTGCGTTTCATGTTCACACCACCTGCTAATTCCTTTGCCAACCTACCTAGCTTCATGGTACCCTGCAGTTTGCAGCAGAGAGTCAGTATCCTATTTCCCTTTGCAAAAAATGGGATACAAAACCAACAGAAAATGTATCCTGGATTACCATCCCCAGCTGCCCATTGGAAAAGATCACTTTTACACCTTGTCTAGCATAATAATTTGCCCAAGCATTCCTATCTGCAGTGGATATCATGTCCTCTCGATTTAAAACCAAGATTCTTTTCCGATTGCCAAGCCATGCATCCATCTGCTCATTCAAAGGCCAACAAATTGCAAAAAAGATTTTAAATTGGATGCCACAAACTTAAAAATTCCGTGCACAAAAAGCAGATAAAGGAGATGTGCTTCTTCAGAGGGGAGATAAACTCCCAAAAAACCTCAGGTAATTTGCTTCTCCTTGAAAATGAGTAGGAGATGATATAGTCTTCACTTTTAAGGCACGAACAACCTTGAACACTGGGATGAAACTTACTGCACACATAAATTGATTGTTTGACAAAACGCTAAAGTGGCCTGTGGTTCTTTTTCTTATCTTTCTTCAGTGGAAAAGGGTCCTTTTGATATCCTCAAATGAAGTTTTCACAACTTATCATGAACACTAAAGATGCCTTTATACTGATAAGAGTGCTTCCCACCAAGTTAATGGCCATAATGTGAATCATACTTCACTTTAAAAAGGCAAAACCAGCAAGATGGACAGCAGCAGCTTAGGCACTTATGATCAAAAAGAAAATTGGGAGACCGCTCACATATGCCACTCATAATCTCCAATCTCAATGTCACTTAGACAGTGACGGAGGATTACAATAATGCAGAACATGCAAATGAATGTGTAAATTTACAGTCTAAGGTTTTCAAAGATGCTAAAAAGCTTCTTGCTGCCAGGAACACGTGCACTGCAAAATGGCAAGTCAACACAACACATTCCCAAGGCATTATGATGCGCACAGAGGACCATAGCTTTGACAAGTTCAACATGATAGGTTAAGTAACAGAAAACTAACCTGCGGATGGCCAGTCGACATTGGAATCCTTGCATCTCGAACCTCTATAACAACATCCATCAGTTTCAGTTGCTCCTTGAGTTCTTTTTCAGTTTTTGAAATGTGCCCAGGAAACCACTATTTGATCGTTAGCATGTGTAAATAAAAACCTCGTAGACCTTTTCCAGTTCAGGTAAAAGCTAAAGCAGAAAATGTAAACACAACAAAGCGTTAATCTAGTTTATCTTTGAAGAACATCACTCAAGTTCACACTATGATACCTGAATAGAGCGTAATGTCTTTGTCCAGTGATATAGATCAGTTTCCAAATCATCCCAGTCATTTTCTGCTTCAGTTCTCCCTAAATTTGTACTCGGTTTTGAATTCCCATTTGTCTGCCATCCCAAAGCTTTTCCACCAACAATCTGCAAAGTTTTTTTTTTTTTACAAACACAACATAAACCACAAATAAAGATCACTATGCAGGCAATCTATAAGAAATACCACAACATTTAGCACTCTCAGAAAGCCAGCATTACCAAAATGGGGTACGGAAAACACCAAACACGTTTTAATTTGCTTATATAACCACAAAGAAGCTACAAGGCACCCATTTTGCAATTTTTCCACAATTGAATCAGTTTCTCAGAGGTAATGGATAAATGGTTACATCATTTCATTGGTTGATTTTCCCTTTCAGGGTCATTGCACCTAAAGCAGCTTGTAAGGTTGCATTTGGGAACTACTCTTGCTAAAATTTCTGTGAACTAAATCAGATAAGCTATATCAAGTGATCTCATGCCATCAAGCTGCTGATCATTGGTAAGCACTTTGTCAAGTACTAATTTTGATCATTAACTTCTCCCCAATTTGCACTAAACGTAACCATGTTTCAGTTTTCACAAAACTTCAACATCCCAGACTAGTATATAAACTTACTGCACAAGATGCATTAATCCTAAAAAAGTAAATATAATCCAGAAATTACATTCATAAAAACATTGTCTTTTCCCCAAAAAAGGCCGGACGGCCATGAATAAACTACGTTAAGCAAAATTAGCCATAAGCCCATACAGAAGAAAGAAGACAACCAGAAAACAAAGCAGAACACAAGGGTCATGCAAAAACATAGCCTTGCCTGAATAGAAGACGAAGAGGGAAGAGGATGAGCGGCGCATATGGTGGAAGGTGGTGAGTAGATTCTGCTAGGAAGACTCTGTCCGCCGCTGAGCTTGGTAGCCGGAAAGTTGGGCCAGAGACCAGTGAGCTGGGTACTCATCCGTTCCAGAGATTCCTGAAAAACCCACTTCTGTTGCTGATACCTAATGGTATTATTACTACTATTCTTGAATTCAAGCGCGCAAACTGAAACAAGGCGTGGCAGACTAAAGCTGGGTGAGGATGTATTGGACGCTAATTCCGCATTTCATCAAACGTTATCATTTCTTTTAGACTCAAATTAAGCAAACTTTCATATTCATATGGTTATTCTTTTACCTTAATTAATTAGATTATAAGTATTAGTAAATACTAATACAATAAATATAGATACTAATACAATAATATACAAAAAATAATAATAAACTCTTTTATGCGTCGAAATTTTTGTTCTTCATTTACTCATATTAGCCCAATTTCAAATAATTTTATTTGTCACAATGAACTATGTTCTTACAAAAAGAATTTGAATTCGGACAAGTCAAGATGCGTAAATTTATAAGTGAAGGTGACAACCTATCGAATTTGCCACGAGCAGTTGGTCAAAATGCTTAGCTTGAGCTCGAATTGTTTGAATCTTTTCTGAACATTTGAGCATTAAGGTACTTGATTTGAAAAAATGATCGAAATTTTCGAGATTTATATATATATACATTGTTTTTTTATAATGATAAAATTAGTGAATCTCTTATATAGTCTGTACTAGAAACTCGAGCTTGTCTCGAGTACGAGCTCAATTTGCTTTTTCGAGGTAGGTTGACCACCTAACAATTGATTAAGTCGATTTCAAGTACTTGAACATGGGATTCATCGAGTTTGCTTTCAGGTAAATACCTTTAAACTCGGTTCCTTATCACCCGTAAATTTATAAGTCCAATTTTCTAGTCTAGATAAATCTTTTTCTCCAAGTAGATTACTTCTGAAGGCTCATACCAATATTGAGATAGTTGATCAAAGTTACTTTACTATGGGAGGTTAAAAAAAAAAAAAACAGTTCTAGCGTAGTTAAATTACTCGTTGAGGAAAGAATCACTTGCAAATAAAAGTTGGTGTAAAAATCAGATCCATGTGCATATGTTATTCATCATGAACAATACATTGTGCTATAAGTTTTACAAGTTGTATATGCTGAATTCCAATTTATTGACGACATTGAATATCGTTTCGAGCAATTTGATTGAAAATTGTTTCGGTCCCGAATCCACATTTTGTTCCCTTGTAAAAGTTTAAATCATCAATCGGATGATCCCTTCTCAGAACAGTATGAGACAAAGAACAATTTGACTAAATGGAACAATATAAACATAAATATGAAATTACCTTGCCAGGATTCAATTGATCATAGCAAGATCATAAATACAATTGAGTTGATAGGAGAAATGCTAGAAAATCTACTGAGTATCAAAATTCAATTTTCCTTGCAGGACTACATTACACACGCCAAAATACTTGCTAAAACTCTATACATGATTCCAAGTTATACATAGTATACATTCCAACTTTGCTTCGTGTTCAGCCATGTACAATCATCTGCCACATGGGAAGCACCAGCAGCACTGAAAGGAAAGAGATGAAAAGAAAATAGATGCTGATTAATGATTCAGAAAGAAGTAAGAATGAAAATTAAGGGTTTCAAACATAGCAATGCTGCAACAAGACGGTGATCAGAAGGCTTCAACTACCTTCGAATTGTCATTTCCAATTGGTTTCTGACCATTGGAGTAAGATGATTCTGTTGGCATACCAGGTACTTTTCCAGCTCCACTGTGTCTCTCCTCTCGCACTTTGTTAAATATGTGAGTGTATCCTTCTGCTGATGCAGGATCAGTCTCATCCCAATCGCCGAATTTGGGAACAGCAGGGCTGTGATCAGGCTGCCACATCAACCCGAGAGTTAAGAAGAGAGAAAAAATTGACTGATAGAGAAACAGAACTAAACCTGGGGAAGAAACCATAGCAAATAAAATGCCAAAAAGGTTCACTCAAGACAATAATATTTGATAGAAGCGTAATGCTGTTAAATTGTTAACATGGAAAAGAATACACAGTGTAACTAGGCGGATTAGTCTAAATTCCAAGATTTTCTCTACCATCCAGCTACCTCCAAGAATCAGTATTTGATTGCTGAAAACATGGTAAGACTAAACTTTCGTTCCCAGAAACAACTGTAAGTTGCAAAAAAAAATAGGATGAAAGTGTGTGTCGGTATGCATGATCATTTTCAGAGATGTTACCACAGAAAGTTTAAGAATGGCATACAGTTTCATCGCCTCGTGTTACTGATTTTAACCGCGATCCGCCAGGAGTGGAAGGAGCCAAACCAAGGCCACCTTCTGAGGAGCCTTTTCTTTCCCAAGATGGAGAAGAAACTCCACTGCCTCTGCCACCAGTCCTTACCTGAGAGTGTGGATGTAGCGGAGACTGGTCAATGCTGCGATCAGACCCCACACTTTGCCTAGCAACCCTCTTAGGTGTTTCACCAGCACTCAGGCCACCATGACGATGATGTGGAGAATCATGACTAGTTCTACGGTTTCCGGTCTCATTCCGCAATGGAGAATCAGTTGGCCTCCTCAAATCACCTTCTTCTCGACTTTCATGCCTTGGTCTTACTGTGTCAGTTCCCTTCGATCCTTCTGACTCTGGTTTTCTACTCCCATGTTTTAAACCACCTTGCTTATGATGAGGTGATTCATTTGCAGATTTCTGACTCATGGCATCAGAGTGCAAGGGAGAGTCGATTGATTTCCTCAGGTCACCATCTTCTCGGCTAGTGCGTCGCACATGCTTTGCCCTGGTTGCCTCTGGTCTTTTTTGGCCCTTTGTTTCAGCATCCAGATCCTCTTGCGGATCATTTGTATTCATTTTGCTACCTTTCTTGCCCTTCCTGGCATTATCAAAGTAGACAGTGTAAGGCACATCTTCCTCGCTTTCCCAATTGCCAAACTTTGGAACTTGTGACCGTTGCTGCAGAAAAAGGAACCAATTTCATAAACATGATCCCAATCAACAATACAAAAACAGAAATTCTACAGGACAATGGTATAGAGTAGGGCTTCATGCTAGTCTCACGCATAAATCCGCCATAAGCTCAAATGCTTGACTAATTGACATGGAAAAATTACTACCAAAAAATAGAAAAGTAAAAGGATATAACCTTCCCTGTTAAGACTAAACCTTTCTCAGGAATTGTTCACATGGCAAGACACCAGGGCTGGGAATATAAATCTTGCAGGAACATTAGGACTAGGTTCCTCCTGTTCTCAAGGCTCACAAAGTTGTGGGAGAATGACAAGTTCACCTCAACCTCTCCCATTGTCTAGTTTTAATAACTACCAAAATGGAAATCTGGGCCAAAAAATAAAAGTAAAATCAACTCATGCATCGTTGATTTTAGGATTGAAAAGAACTAAGGCTTCATTTTAGAAGTCCATAACCATTGTGGAGAAGATCACTTGGAAATCGGCAGGAATTAACGTGTTATCCTCAACTCAATGCTTGCCAGGCTTGTTATGAAAGCTAATGTGTTATCATTCAAGCTTGTAACCCTACCTCACTAACATCCCAACAAGAGTACCATTGATTGCTGTGGGATCAACACCACAGCTTTTATGTTTGATAACTTTATTCAAAGAAATGATTATCCTGTTTGATAACTTTATTCAAAGAAATGATTATCCGATACCTATTGCTGTGGGATCAACTCCACAGCTCTTATGTGTGACATCTTTATTCAAAGAAATGATTATCCGATACCCAGCTTTAACACCTCATAACACATATCCATGTAACAAAACAAAGGTGAACTAGCAAGTAATTGCGACCTGAACCACTCACACAAAATGCTACAGCTCAGAAAATTTCATTAGCATTCTCCACAAACTCAATTTTTATATGATAATCCCTCAACACTTAGCAACAAAAATAAAATGAAAAGAACCCTAGAGTCCAATCAATAAATCCAGTTTAGTTAGCAAGTCAATAGATAAACCTGGCTGGACACTTGAACTAAGATTCTCAGTCTGCAAGACATAAACACAAGAAATATCATATACGAGTCTATCCCAATTGATGTTTAAGGTATCAGTTTTGAAGCTCAAGAATGCTTGAAGAGTCCAACAAGGTTTTGTGCTTTAGATATGTTTCTGAAGATGTCAGTGAGGTGGGGAACTTGGGGATGTTAATTACTGTTCGCCAAGACTTTGAAAAGGACATTGATTATTCAGGAGACAAAAACAAAATGGGGGAACACAGAAAGCAGAAGGGATCTTTTCTGCTTAAAGGTAAAATATTCCATTATCCTTTGCAACCAATGTAGAAAAGAAGTGCCTAACAAGATGGTTACTTTTGTGAGTATGGCCACTTAAGCCAAAAAGCTCAAAAGTAGAAGTACAAACTAAATGATTATGCATTCCAAATCCAGAGAGAAAAATATCAACAAAATAAGGCAATGTCATCACAGGACCTGATCTTATTTGCTAAGCTTAACAAGAAAACAAGGCAAGGGCTTCAGATAACTATATGAATAGACAAGTAATTCACAGCCATAGAAAATGTCATCTTTTAGAAATAACATATTTAAAGTTTCAAACTTGATTCAGAATTGATTTAAATTAACAATTACTGTTTACACCCGTAAAGTTCATAACTCAAGTATAGCACTGGCAAGCATGAAAAAGACAGTTATTTCTACTTGAAGGTACGGGGCGACTTTAACAACAACATGATACTTTACAACACAGAAAAATCAGATTCACTGCAAATGAAAACAAAAGGCACTAGCTGCCTTTAGAATAAGAGAAACGAATTACGCAACGCAGTTGGCTTAATACAATCCAAAATAAAAAAATTAGGGTATACTATGGTAAATCTGGAGAAGTCCAGAATTTCTTGTGACGTACTACTAGCATCTCTATTTAGCCACAAACACCAAAGATTTACATCCTGCTAATACAGCCACTTCAAAGGCAGATGGTATTCATGGCTTTGTTTTTCCCCTCACTACTCATACATATCCCCCTCTTCAAAAGAAAAATACGGAATAATGCCAAAAGATCAAAATAAATTCCTGAAAATAGATTAATCCAATGGTGCAACCTTCAAAATCAAGAGCCTAAATCAAATACGTAAAAAGGCCATCTAATCATTGAATCCACAATTTCCTTAATGATATATATGCTACAGAAAAATCCCACCAAAATGATCAC